AGGAAGAATCCCTATGTAACCCCTAACCACAAATTAGTCATGGGACAATGACTGCAGAAGTTGCCTTTAAGCCAACAGTTATAACTTCAAACCTTGCAGAATGTTTTAAGAGCCTGGGGCTGCTATCTGTAGAAGATGATGTATATTTCAGGAACCCACCCTTATAGGCCACCATGGTAGATGTGAACATGCAGAATAAATGCTGGCCTCTGGCCAATCCTAAAGTATAAACCTAAAGATAAAATGTTTACAAACTTCAAATCTTTAGAAATATTTCAGAACCAACAGACCACCTCCAAGGTAAGTGTGGGCTCACAAAGTCTCCTGTGAGGCTCCCAGGAAATGGCATGTGAGCCTGAAGTCCCTTTGTAACCCAATAATCTCAAGAAGCAAGACGCAGGAATAATTAACCTCCTTGTGACACTTGAAAAAAATGAAATGGGAGGTTAGACCCATCCTAAGAGAGAGTTCGCTGTTGCTCTGCAGCTATTTCAATCTATTATATTTGGTACTATGTGACAACTCTCTCGCACATATATATATACGAAGAGAGGGAGAAAATGGAGTCAAACAAATGACTTCAGCCAATTTTACTTCCTGTATTACAGCTACCTTCTTGAAATATTTAAAACATATAGTAGGCACTCAAACTTTTTTCAATTAATAAAGAAGGGATACAGCAGGTAAGCAGTAACCAGCAGCTCACTCATGTAAAACCTTTTTAAATGAAAAAAGTACCCTGAATCTCAATCAAAGGCAGCAAAGTGAACTGAAAATGCTCTACATTATTGACATTTTTCAAATACACATACAGACAATGCTCTTAAGATGAGTATCCACATTCACAGGTATGACTGGAAAGATCTGTATATAACAAATGGTTCCTTCCACATTGAATACATGTCATACTTTAGAACAGAAATTCTAATTTTCTTCATCAGCTGAACTAAAAGATTTTCAAAACGACTTTTATTGCTAAGTTGAAATGTATTTTAATGTGCTTGCCAGATGTCATGATACATAAATATAAGTAAGGAGAAGCTAAAAGAGAGCCATGAAAACTGGGTAAATCATTTCCTCTTTAATCATTTCCAGGACAAGTGTCGTGGAAAAAGACAGAAAAAGTCAGTAGAGGAAACATCATCCCTCAAACATAAGGTCAAGTGCTATCTTCAGGTGAACACATAATAAAATCACCACTTAAAAGTAACCAAGGTTCCGAGCCAGCCCTGATGGCCTAGTGGTTACAAGTCCTGTGCACTCCGCTTCGACGGCCCAGGTTCAGCTCCCAGGCGTGGAACACCACCACTTGTCTGTTAGTAGCCATGCTGCGGCGGCAGCTCACATAGAAGAACTAGAAGGGCTTACAACTAAAACATACAACTATGTACTGGGACTTTGGGGAGAAAAAACAAAGAGAGGAAGAATGGCAACAGATGTTAGCTCAGAGCAAATCTTTCCCAGCCAAAAAAAAAAAAAAAAAAGTAACGAAGCTTCCTCAAAAAATTAAACACAGAATTACTAAATTACCTAGAAATCCCACTTCTGTGTATATACCCAAAAGGATTGAAAGCAAGGACTCAGATATCTGTACGCCAATGTTCACAGCAGCATTATATGTAATAGCCAAAAAGGTGGAAACAATCCAAGTGTCCACTGGCAGATGAATGGATAAACAAAATGTGCTATACACATACACGGAATATTATTCAGTCCTAAAAAGGACTGAAATTCTGACACAGGCTAAAACATTGATGAACCTTGAAGACACAGTGCTAAGTGAAATAAGCCAGATACAAATGGACAAATACTATGATTTCACTTACAAGAGGTACCTAGAAGTAGTCATATTCATAGAGACAGAAAGTGGAATGGTGGTTGCCAGGGTCTGGGGGAAGAAAGGAATGCAGAGCTATTTAATAGGTACAGAGTTTCAGTTTGGGAAGATAAAAATGTTCTGGAAACGGATGGTGGTGATGGTTGCACTCAGTGTGAATGTACTTAATGCCACTGAACTGTACACTTAAAAATGGTTTAAATGGTCAATTTTACATTATATATATTTTACCACAATTTTTTTTTAAAGTAACCAAGCAAGAATGATGGTCAAACCTCTGTGGGAAAAACTTACCAAGAAAAGTGGTAAGAGTCTGTAACAAGCATGCTTCACTGCCATCCTCCAGAGCCTCGGTGACTTACCTGAAAGTCAAGACCTTAGAACTGGAGAGATGGACATGCCATTTTCATGTTGTTACAGATATATACCAAGCAACTGAGGACACTGAACTATATCCTACCGGAGGTCTTTGCTAAATAATGAATAGACTCCCCTTCCAACAATTAAATCAGAAAAAAAAACAAGCTTTTCCTTCCAGTCTCCAATGGAAGCAGCAAGATTGAAATAATCAGTTTTACTTCTTTCTAACAAAGAAGCACAGCGGATCCTAAAGAGTAACTTTAAGTTCCCAACTTTAATATGGTGGCTCTACAATGGGAAACTGCAAGCAGCAATAAAAAAAAATAATAATAATAATAATAGTATATATAAACTTCCTCCACTGCCTTTATTAAGAGACTTTGTACAAGTTACTTAATCTTTCTGAGCCTCATCTGAAAAATAAGGATAATGCTTACAACTACCTTGTAAAGGTTGTTTGAAGATCTCATAAGGTAATACATATAAAACACACTGAAGTCAGTGCCTAGACTACATAAATGCTCAACAAATAAAAATTCCCTCCTCTTCTGTCATTCACTAGTGTCTGCAGCCCTTCGCTACTCCTGGATCAGCCTCCAAGGGCTATGCTGATGTTTTGGGCAATTACCTATGGCTCCTCCCTCAGGCCCCAGCTGTTTCTTGCAGTTCAAGTTGTTTCACTCCTGGTCTCTAAGAGGATCCTGTCTATATTTAGAGATAATGCCAGAACCAACTGTGGACTCAACAGGTGCTTGGAGGGCACTTGAGCACTCAGCAGTGTTTGATTGTTTTCCAGAGTTAATTGGTTTTGGCTCTACAACTGGCTGTCTTGACTTCTACAAGGAAGAGTGCCACGTATGCACAGTACTTCAGCAGTACACTAGACTAAACAGAAAATTAAGTGTGCTCACAGGACAAACCCTTAGCAAGAAGACGTTTTAGCCCTATTATCAAGACCTCAGAAGATTTATTAAATCACAGGAGCAATAAACATTCAATAAACTCTACAGATGTAGCCCACTAACCCAATCTTCATCTAAATCACTACTATCACATCAGTCAAGTTTCAACCAATTCATGCTGCTTGTACTACAACCATGATTGGGAGGAGGGAGAGAGCAGGAAGAACAGTCAGGCAGGGAAGATTTAAAGAAGGCTTCCAACAGAGCTGGGTCTGAATTCAGCTTTATTTACTAGCATTGTGACCTTAGTATGTTATTTAACATCCTAATTTATAAACTAGGAAATAATTGTGAGGATTAAATTAAATGAGATAATGCAAGAATAACCACCTTAGCACCTGGCCTAGCCCACTGGAAGAGGTCAATCAAGAGCCACATTATCACTAATGAGGACACTGCACTCACTTCTTGCTTTGTTCAGTTTTTATGACGTATAAGAAAAGTGACAATTTAGATCATTATTTCCGGACCTTTATAAAGTAGCCTAATGCTACTATATGAGACCTAGCTGAGAAATACAAACTGATGAGTTCCCAGAAATCTTAGATGAGTCAGCAAAACAATGCTTTTTTACTAAAAAAAGCTTAACATACACTATTTATGAACATATAAAGGTAACTACAATTTCAAAATCAGCAGTCTTGTATCCAGTACCATTCAAAATCCAAGTATCAAAGAAATGTAAAGATCATAACCCCAGAAATACTTTCCCACAATATTTTCAAATCACCTTAATTCAAACTAGAACGTATGAGACAGCCTGGTAATTTGAAATCAGCATCAAGAATCTCTTGAGGCAGAACCCAAACTCTCTCCCACGAGCATAAAACCAGTAGCAGATGGTACATGAACATTTCTCAGTGAGAAACTGCAATTCTAACAAAGTACAGATAACTTCGATTTTATCAAGGCTATTCATCACCTTTTGGTCTAAATGAAAACAAACCCTTGGTTCTCCCCCAAACACCATGAACTTGGCATTATCACTGACCTAACTCAAAGCAAGATGCCTATTTTGGTGATCTGTCCTCTCCTGCTTCATTAACCACAGGTAAATTACATAAAGTAACCTGCTGAAGAGAAATAAATATTACTGGAATGCTTTAATGGACTGCATAAATGATAACCAAATTATTAAAACAGCGGCTTGCACTCTTCAGCAGAGGGACAAGCCTGAGAAAGATTCACCTTCTAAAAGAACCCAATCATCCTGGGTGAATTAGGAGAAAGATGCCACTCTACTCCACCTACCCTATACTCTGTAACTGGAGCTACCCCTTCTGCTTTAATTCAAGCCCAAACCACACCTATTTTACTTCTCTGCCCCTCTTTGCCTTATTTTCCGTTCCGTTTCCCCCCTCCATTCCAAGAATGCCTTTCTTTTATTTTCAAACCCCACTTTGCCCCCAAATCCTAAGGACCTCGGACACCCACGCAGGTGACCTTATGCATCCCCAAACCATTCCCAATTCATTGTACTTCTCATCCCAAATGACCCATTCTTTCATTCTTTTCAGTCTCTCGTTGTTTCTTAAAATCCAATACCCCACACACGCTCACACCCGAGTCCCCCCCTCACTCCATTGTTTCCCCGGCCTATGCCTCTGGAAACACCCCAACTCGGACCCGTGTGCTTCGGCCCGCCCCACTGACCCCAGAAACCTTTCACCATCTGGGCACACCAGGTCCCAAAGGGCTCACGTCCCCCTACTCTCCGTACCCCAACCCCCAACCAATGCCCCCTCCTCCTCCTGTGCCCTCCCTCAAGCCCGCTCCCTGCACGTCTGTGCCCCTCTTTATCCCCCACCAACCCCTCCACCCAGCACCTCAGCCTCACCTACCCCGGGCCCCCGCAGTCGCCGCGTCCCCCCAGTTCCGGGCTCTACGTCCCGGACGCTCCGGGATCTGGGAAAAGGAAAGGGAATCCTCCGCCTCCTTCTCCTCCTCTTCTGGAGCCGCCGCCGTCGCCGCCGCGCTCCTCCCCCAGCTCGCCCGGAGCCGGACGCCGCCCCGCCCCCACCGCCCCTTTCCCCGCTTCCCCCCTCGGCAGGGCGGCGGGCTGGGAATCGCAGCCGCGGCTGGGGGCCGGAGCGCCAGCGGATCCACACCGACCTCGCCGGGGCTCGAGCTGCTCGCCCCGCCCCGTAGCCCGCTCGGGCGCGTGCGCGCCACCCAGCCAGCGCACAGCGCGCGTGCTCGCGCCGGCGCAAACCCGGCGCGCCAGGCTCGAGGCTGTTGCAGCCAACGGGCGCGTGAGCGAGGCCGGGGTGCGAGGCGGCCCCCGCGCCGGGGACCTGCAAGTGGGGAGGCGCGAGGGGAAAGGCGGACTCCGGGTCGTCCGGTACCGCTCCTCTCGTGGCCCCGTCCCTCGCGCCTCGCACTGCCCGCCGGGTCGCGCGCCTGAGCTGAAGGATCTCGGGCGTCGCCGGGGATTAGGCATAACGAGGAGGGGCAAGAATTAGAGGAGTGGGTCCGAAACAAACTAAAGGGAAGTGGGGACGGGTAGGACACGAGCTCGCGTCCGCGTGCAGAACGGTCCTTGCCCACAAAGAGTCGGCGGCGTGGGGTGGGGGAATAGCGCGCGCTGAGAGCTGAGGGCCGAGCTGGAACTGCCGGAAAGAGCCGAAACTCCCCCGGAGACTGCCGAAGGCGGGCGCCTCGAGGGGAAGCTCGTGAAGGGCTTTTTGATCTCGGTCCTGGCTGGGACACGGTCTCGGGCCGCCCTCCCTTTCGCTGTTCACGACTGCGCCCCCAGGGCTTCCCACCACTTTCCCCTTCACCTCGTTCCCGACCCAGGTTTTACTCCAAGGGCCATTTCAGAGCCATCGGCTGCAAGAAAAGCCCGGACGTCCGGACTGCGCGCCCGCTCAGCCTCCTGGGAGTCGTTAGAGGCCGGTGCGGGGAGAGGGGAAGGATGCGGCCCGGGCCTGGCGCAGGACAACCTCTGGAGCGAATTGAGGATCCTCCAACCCCACCACGTCTGCCGACGTGCTGCCAGAGTCCGCTTCTGAATCGGTTTTCTGGTCTGCTCAGCTGTCTGCATTCCTCTGCGGCTGTGGTCAGTCACGCCGCCCGTCGGATCTTTCCGTTAAATACTTTTGTGTCTTCGTGGTCAGATTCCCAAGCTCCCCAGGACCAAAACCATCCCTAATATTTGTGCACCTTTATAACCAGTGTCCTGCATGTGTGAAGCACTCACCCCGCTGTCAACTGGTCAGCCGTCGCTTAGGAGCGGCTGCAGGCTGGGAATTTAGACAATCGGCATTAAAAAGGTTAATCAGATTCTGTCCTCATATTCTTATCCTTTGAGGTCAAGCCATAAGGGGCTCTGGACAGGCACCAACGACAAACCAGAGAGTGTATATGACTGTATAGCTAGACACCACAGGAACAAGGTAGTTTTTGGTTTCCCTACGTTTGTTATTGCAGTCGCAGTATATACTCCAGTAGTGGAGTAGTATACGAAATCGCTATCTGGTCCCTTGGTTTTTAACTTTGCATGGGGTGGAAATCCCCTGGAGCCCACTGACACCTAGTTAATAATGCCCAATCTAATCCAACCATATCATTTACAGATCTAAAGAAGCAGAGTAGGTAATCCAGCTAGTGAGGGCACTACACCGTGTGTTGCTTACTATTGAATCTTCCTTCAGAGATTCAAATAGACGCAAACCATCCAAATATCTGCTCTCTATTCATTCACTGAATTGACATAAGTACCCATGAGTGGTAGGCATTGTTCTAGGCATTGGGTCACTTACAAAGAAGAATAAAACAAGATCATTATCCCCAAGGAAAATACCCAGTTGTAAAGGAGAATAAAAGCTATTAAATAACTATAATATTATGATATAATAGTTAATTATAATAATGGGATAAGTGCTGAAACAGAAAAGTGCAAAGTGGTGTAGGAACACAGAGGAATAAGTGACTAATTATTCCACAATTCCTCGTCCTTCCCATACGGAGTAGAAATACGATGATAGGACCCTGGTTAATAGGAAACTTGATACTGAAAAATGGGACCTGAACCAATTGGATCCAAGATCTTATTCCATAATGCCTGATTTCACCTACCAAAATTCACTCGGGAAACACCTTTATTATTCGGCCTGTTGCTGCTGCAAAACCAATATAGTTTCTTTGGGAGGAAAATAGAGTCCCCACTCTTGGAAAACTTATAATCTGTTGGGAAAGACATGAAGCCTCCCCTAAGAGACCCCATGGTCTAATGGGAGAGAGTTTTTATATGTAGATATCCCACTGAAAGAAAAGGAGGTGGATTAAGTAGCACACCTCCGCCCAATAGATGAGAGCTGTCAAAACATCACTGGAAGTCTAATGAGAGGAAGAATATCATATTTAACGGATCTCCTCTAAGGGAGAATTCTGAGTGTGATTGAGAGGAACATGTTGCTAAGTCCCTGGGGTGGCAGTAGGGGTAAGCTCCTCACAAGGATTTTACTCAAAAAATAATGGGAGGGGCCAGCCCCTTGGTGCAGCAGTTAAGTGTGTGCGCTCCGTTGCTGGCAGCCGGGGTTGGGATCACGGGCGTGCACCAATGCACCGCTTGTCAGGCCATGCTGTGGTGGCGTCCCACATAAAAAGTGGAGGAAGATGGGCACAGATGTTAGCCCAGGGCCAGTCTTCCTCAGCAAAAAGAGGATTGGTATGGATGTTAGTTCAGGGCTGATCTTCCTCACAAAAAAATAAACAAATAAAAATAAAAAAATAACGGACCTCCAAGGAGGGTCGGTCACATAGAACATATGTCTTGCTGAGTGGAGTCTGCAAGAGGGGTGCTGCCACTCGTGGCCCACCTTCACCCTTTCTCCATGCAGCACTCAATCAGTCTAGGACATTGAACAAATGTTTCAAAAATACCTTTTGGGGGCTGGCCCCATGGCCTAGTGGTTAAGTTTGGCACACTTCACTTTGACATCCTCGGTTCGGTTCCCAGGCACAGACCTACACCACTTGTCTGCAGCCATGCTGTGGCAGCAACCCACATACAAAATAGAGGAAGATTGGCACAGATGTTAGCTCAGGGCGAATCTTCCTCCAGCAAAAAAAAAAAAAAAATCTTTTGGACCTGGGTTACAAAGATTAATTTTATCGTTGTTCTTTATACTACATATACATTTTCCATTTTGTATGCTATACTTGACAATAAAACAGAGTGATTACGGCCTGCTTTAAAATAATTGCAAATTGTTTAAAGTCTGTCTATAAATTATATTGGAGGAAAAGAAATGCTGTAATAAATTCAACATATAATACTTGCAACCTACTCTAAAGAAAATTTTTTTAAAAATTTCTGAAGGATTAGAGTAACTGCTAAGGATTATGTGGGGGAAGAGGGAGAATCCCCCTCTGCCCTTTCCCTTAAGGTTCTTATGGCTGGCCAAATAATTAACAAGACAGGTTAGCAGGAGAAGATAATACCACGTTTAATAACGTGTATACATGGGAGAAACCAGGGACATTGCATTTCTCCACACAATAGGAGAGATTCTCGTCTTAGATACCATCTTCAGCTAAAGACAAAGGAGGATGTTGGGGGTGGGGGGAGTCAGTTACAGGAGATTACCACTGAAGCACAGTAGACAAGAGTAAAGTTATTATGCAGATTTAAGGCCTCACCTTCCACATTGATAAGTTTCTAGAAATGAGGTCATTCCCCCTCTTCCCAATACAGAGAGAGGGAGATACCTTTACAAATGGAGATTTCCCTTATACATGTAAATGTTTGTCTGGCAACTCCTTGCAGGGCCATCTAGAGAATGTGGCCAGAGAGACAGAAGTTTTGATAAGATGGGCTTGTTGGTGTCTTTCCTATTGTAACATCTATTTTACATTATATTACAGCCATCAGATAGTAACTCCTTCCTGGAACAGATGTTCTATGTCAAATTCTTTAGACAGTTAGTGGGGGAGGTCAAATGTCCGTCAGAGAAAACAATCAAGGTAAAGAGATATATTTCAGGGTGGCCAAATCTTGATCTCCCACGATTACAAAAGAAGATCATTTTGAAATAACATCCATATGTCTCAGTTCAGTCTTAAGGGAATTAATTTATCCCAGGTTACCTAATGACCAAGTGGCAAAACTAGAACTAAAGATAAATCATGACATCATCTTCACTATGGCAGATATATTCTGCAGCTATTAACCTGACCTAATTTGATATGTTTCAAATAGATCCTTGAGATCAGGGCTGTTCTTGTGTTTTTGTTTGTTTGTGTTGAGTTGATATTTTGTAGCTGAAGTGATTGATTGCCAGATTCCAGGTTTTTATTAGGAAGAAAAAGAGGCTGAAGTTAAACTATAACCTGAGAGACATAAAAATTTTACTTATTATCTTGGAGACTTGATAATCAATGACGGTAATTGAAGAACATGATTTTTTAAAGTCTCTGTTGACTAAAGCTGAAGCTACAAACCACAACAGGCATGAAGACCAGCAAAGAACATCTCATAAGGCTGTACTTTTCCTTTGCTTGGACTACCTCTAATACCTAAAAATATTCATGTTGGCAGTCCAAACTGTGAGTCTTAGAAAATGAGTTTCATGGGATGCTAAATAGATGTTATCTGAAAAAACTATTCCAGGTCCAAATGAGTTTCGGAAACACTGGGTAAAATCAAGTTAAACTGTTTTCTTTACTTCCCAGAGTATTTAATATGGTAATGAGCTTTGTTAATATCAAAGAGAACACACTATATAGTATGCAACTTTCCCCAAGGAAACTTTTTTCTCCCAAGAGACTTCCGTGCAGGATTAATGTTTCTTTCGACATCCATTCTATAAAGTTCTATTAAAGAGGTTTGATTAGGTCAGCATTTCCCATTTTACAGATAACAAAACTGAGGTCCAAAGACACGGGTAACATACTCAAATTCAGTTGTGTATCAGATGTTTAGAGCTGGAAAAAGCCTAAAATTATCAAAGGTTGAATTGTTACATCACAAAATTAGTGGCAATGTCAGAACCAAAACTCAGATTTGAAACACTCAATTGAGTGAGAGGGCCTTGTAGGTTCATAAGAAACTTGAATTTGATCTTTAGTGAATTTGTTTCTATATGTAAGGCATATACCTAATACTGCTCTACTGTTAAGTTCATTTATGGAATTTCAGCATGCTCTTT